GTCTGCCTCTAATTAAGAAGTTCCTGAACTCAAGGAATGTGGAGGCGTAGCTGTTGTCGGTGTGTTTTGTTCAGGAAAGGCGAATTAACTAAAGCTTTAACAACAAACAGGATCTCAGTCTGATTGAAATATGGGATGAAGTGTAAGAAAAACAAACAAAAGAGGTGGATAACGAGGCTCCATCCTGCAAAGCTTTTATCTGCAGCACAAAAAGATTGCAACTGGAGGAAATCCCTTTACGTTAGAGAAAAACAAAGCTTAATAAGAAAACCAGTCTCAAATTTTTACTACAAGGGACAATCTGCAGTCACTTTAAGTATTGTTTTTTGTGCTCTATTTTACAATGGCAGGATGTGCAGTTATGAAAATGAACTACTTAAGGGCATTATTTCTGATATATATTTGTTGCAAAGTTGCTGGATATTATGAGTGTGGTAGAAATTACAGAATAATGATTCTGTAATTTCTACCAAAGTGGCTGAGTGAGTGCAACAACTGAATCATACATAACTCGATTTTTTTTCCCCTCGCTGAAGATTCCAAATCACCCAAGACAAAAAAGAGGGCAAAGAAAGATGATGACCATGATTATACAGAGAAGAAAAAGGTAAAAGTCTCTAACTGCTCAAAGCCTTAGTCTGTGTGAACTGTTAGTAACACTAGTTTCCTTTATTCAGGTGGCCAAAAGCATGAAAGAGAGCACGACAAAGAAAAGGGTGGTCAAAAAGGAAACTCCCAAAAAAGAAAAACCCACACATCCAAAAGAAGTCGTTTCAAAGAGAGGAAAAGCTGAAAAGACCCAGGAAGAAACACCGCAGAGTGAAACCAAGTCAAGTGCACGTAAAAAGAAAAATAGCAGCGTCGAAGCTGCTGCAGGTAAACACCTGGGATTATGTCACATTTAAAAATGCTTTATTTTTTTTGTAAAATGTAGAGTTTGAAAATTATTTTCCATGCTTGTCATTGCAGGCAGAGAGAGACGAAGTGGGAGAGTAACCAGAAAAAACAGCAAATAAACGTGGAGTCAAATCTTTCTATAAAATAATTTTATACTTGTCTATTTTTAAAAATAAAAAATAAAAATTCATTTTAGAAAAATGCGGTTATTCATTCATTGCAAAGTGATCACACTGTTTTAGTAGAATAACACCAAATATTCCCTCTTTCAAGTCGAGTTTTGAAACATGCTGGAATAAATCAAAAGCAGAGCAGAAGTGTCACAATTTGAAAGGGTTCGAAGTTCAGAGAGATTCCCTCAGATGTGATGCGTGCTGGCCGGGTGGGGTCTCGCCGCTCCAACAAATCACAGCTGAAAGAAATGGCATTGTTCTTAGAAAATCATGCCAAAGCAGCTTAGAGGACCATAATAAAAACTGAAATTAGAAGCACTTACTGCCACGCTTCCTTAACTGGAAGGTCGCTGCGCAGAGTTGCAGTAACACTGCTGCCATGGGACTCATAGAGACGCACGACAAGGTTCCCGTTTCCATCCTCTGCCTGTTAAGGAAAACAACACTTCAGAGCAGTGGTCTGAAGTGTTACCACTTCAGACCACTGAAACTTTCCTTTTGTTTTAAAGGAAAGTTTGTTTCCTTTTAAACAAACTTACCCGGAAATTCTCAAGCTGTGAATGGGATATATATTACAGGATGGCAGGGGTTGGAGAAAAAAGATAAAATCTTTACTGTTTTTTTTACTGCTCTACAACACAGTTATTTTGTCTTCCCCTGTCTTGTCTTTACCTCAAATAGTATTAAAGTTTATTCCAGATACTACAAAAGGTAATCTATATGGCATAGTTTGAAATAAACAAATCCCTACCAATACATTGTAGCTATGGCTGTATATTTTATGTTATTGGCAGGTGAACCTCATGATGCTGTCACCACCGTGTTTAACTTTGGGGATAGTGTGATCGGGGTGACTTGCTGTGTTAGTTTTAGTAGTTGCGCCAAATTGTATTTCGGAAAATCGGAGTAATAATTTAAAAACAATTTGAAAATTATATTTTCTTTTCTTTCCACTTTGTTTTGAAAATTATGCACTACTTTGTGTAGCTCTGTCACATAAAATTCCAATAAGGTACATCAAAGTTTGTAACATGTTCAGAACTGGAAAGGTTCATGAGACGTGAACATTTTCACAAGATACCGTTTCATGAATCACTTTCTGGTTTGGAGCTTGGCTTATAATGTGATACCCGTTTAATGGTCTCCAGGACGACTGCTGACGGACAGAGGGAGAAGGCACTCCAGGGTGCAGAGTCGGGGCGGCACTGGATTGGCCTCAGAGGGTAGTTGAGGCTGTAAGCACACTGAATGACTGAAGCATCCTGGAAGGATCCTGTAGAAGACACACATGTTCAACGAGTCTGTCTGGTTTGTAACAGCTTACATCAGAAACAAACCAGATCTACCTGAGTGGGGCATGATGGCATATGTGAACTGGTGATCCCCCATGTCGGCAGTAGCGTCTGGCGCCTTTGGGGCTCTCAGTCTAAAAAAAAAATAGCAGTTACAACAATTAAACACTAAATTTGGCTCAACCGGCATTATGATGTAAAAGAAAAACATGAAACCTCACAGGGAAAGAGTCATTGTGTTCTTGTGGATGGAATAACCATATTTGGAGTCATTCAGAAGAGTCACTCCAAAGTTGTGCTCTGATAGATCAGCCCACTTGTGACCCCAAACCTTGGCAAGAAAACACATTAAAAACCATGATGTGGTCATGACTAACAGGAAATAATGAATTATATTTTACTGCCACACCTCAAACCTAGCCCAGTCCCACGACGTGTTCCAGTGGGTGGGTCTCTGCAGATGACCAAACTGAATCTCGTATGTCGCATTGGGGCTTCGTACTCGCACGGGAAACTCAACTTTGAGAAACTTGTGCGACTCTGCCCACTGCACCTGGAATTGCACAGATGTATTCTTCAGTTGGACAAATTAAGGGATCTTGGAGAGAAATAAACGCTGCGTCAGAAATCAGGGTGCCTTTGTGTTGAACTTGACGTAGGGACACATGGCATCCATGATGATCTCCTGCGTGACAGTGCTTTTATCGCTGATCCTAAGGGTGAAGCTGACGCTGCCTCTGACCCCTCCTGGTAACGCTACCTGGACAGGCTGCACCACTTCCATTATTGGCTTCCTAAAGAGTTTTTATTTTTTTTATTTTTCTAGATTTCACAATATTTCAAAACACATTCCTCCTAACTCTGTGATGTTTGTAACAAGGTGACAGTGATGAGACCTTGTCTGAAGATGGTAGTCCATCACATCCCATGCGTCCCAGTACAGGGGGACGTCGTCGAATATGACGAACTGGTTTCCAGAAGAGCCATCAGAAATGGCTTCTCTGAAAGCGTCAGCGGTCGTTATTAGATGTGCCAATAGATGACATACAAGAGTAAAGTTATGGTCTAAGTTTACCTGTTGGCACTGATTAGACACAGTGATCCCAGTGTGCCATCTTTGCTGATGACTACTTGTAAAATCCCATTCTCCATAAGAACACTGCCATCCGCCTGAAAACATGCACAGGACTCGGTTAGAAATAAAAAAATGTGAACAGTGCTAATGTCTTTGTAGCGAATACCTGAGGAGTGACGGAGACTGGAGTCGCAGGCTGCGTTTCTTTGACAGGAGCCATGCCGACGCTGGGAGCTCTCACCAAGGCTGCAGGACCGCAGAGCAGCAGGTTTTTACTTTAAACCTGAAGAACCTAAATATTCTGAATATTAAGCTTACCTAGCTTGGAAATGTCTGGTCCATCTGCAATCTGAACGACTTCACATCGCTCCCAAGGCAGAGAGTTGAACACACCAGGAGAGCTGCCCTTTGGCTCCAAGGCTTCCAAAGCCTCCCGCAGAAGGACCCCACCGTCGTTTCTGATATCTTCAATAGGATGGAGAAATATTGTACCCAAGATATGTCTGACATGTAAACACAAAACCCCTATCTCAAACATTGTACCTTTATAATAATCAAGAGCATCTTCCACAACCATCCCTATGCAGCTGCCAGGAATCACATCGTGGAACTGGTTTAGAAGAAGCAGCCTGTCAGAGAGAGAAAAAAGCCCCGCAAAAATTTAAATAATTGTGTTTTGAAATACTTCTGATTGGATCTGAAGTTATATTTAAACCTCCAGAGGCGCTGCAGTTTTTCTGCAGGATACAGAAACGTATCGCTTCGGCAGAGGGCCAAGCTGCTGGCCGCCTCGATATCATGAAGCAAAGTCTCACACTGGCGGTTCTCACGTTTAATCTGCAGGGGGGAAAAAAAACAACAACCTGAATACAGTGATGCAAGAAACCATGTCTGGAAACTCAAAAGTGTCTTTTTGTGATGCATCAATGTGCCAAAGCTACATTTATGCTATTTTAAATTTGATTTAAAAAGAAAAAATTCAAGATGTTCAACAACATTTCGATTTCAGAATCCTATACTTTTCCAAACTCAAATTCTGAGATTTAAGCCAGAAATCTTGAACCTCACTGAGCTTTATCAATATCCTCCACAATTTGTGAAACAGAACAAGAGAAAACAATTTTGTGAGTAGAAAATTATAACCTCAATTGAGAATGTGTGGCAAGAAGTAAAAACTGCACAAATGTAGTCTCAACTTGTGTTACTCAACATGTGTTTTTTTTTTTTTTTTTTTTCCTTATTATAATCTTTTATTGTAACTAAAACAAACAACTCAGCCTTGACTGTGGATGCAGCCTCTGTTCTGACTCTACCTGTGCCTCAGTGGTGTAGGTGCCATTATGCAGCTCCAGGAAGAGCTCTCCGGTCCAAGTGCACAGTAGCCCTGAATCAGCCTGCAGCTGCGAGAAAAGCTTCGAAGGGCTGGACATCTGGACCCTGAGAAAAGCCCATAACAGGGCACGGAAGTGAGTATATAGTTTCAACGTTAAATATAATTTCTTCTGATTAACCATGACAACATTTATTGACACTGGAAAAACTAAAGTACTGCACAATGACAGCAGATCTGCTTCATTTTCCTGTAAACTTAACCATGTCTGAACCACCCTTGTAAAACACAAAGGAAAGCGACATAATATTGCATAATAATTCTAAAATAAAAACAATGGTGGGAAGTGTTTCCTGCTCAGACGGGGCTCAGTTGTTGTTACTGACTGATGATTTAAAGTGAAAGACGGGAACTTACTTGGGAAGTCCGTCTGTGTCCCTGACCAGGCCCAGCCTATCGAGCATCAGCTGCGTAGGGCCACCGCCGCCGTCGCCAAAGCCAAACAATGCCGCACTGTGATTGGTTCGCCCTTTGTCTTTGTTATTCTTCACAGTTTTCACCAGCTTTGGGCGGAATAAAGCACATAGGAAAGTTAGACATATTTCCTCATCATTTATCGTACCTGTAAGCACCGAACTGCAGACTCACATCTTCAATCTTCCCCTTCATTTCATAGGAATTCCCTGGTGGGAAGTGGGTTAAAACTTTGGAGCCATCCAGACCCTCCCAGAAAAATGTGTTGTGCTTAGAAAAGTAGATATAAAAAAATAGTTACTTTAAAAAAAAAAATAATGTTTTCACAGGAAACGCATACAAAAAATACTCACAGGAAAGGTGTTAACCAGATTCCAGCTCAGCTTCTGTGTCAGAAAGTTGGAAATGCCACATCCCTGCATGATTTGTGGAAGCTGGGCAGAGTAGCCAAATGTATCTGGAAGCCAAAACTTTAGAACAATTATCAGACATTATAATGTTATAATAACAATAAAAACAGGCATTAGAAAAAAAAAAAAAGTTAATGTAAAGTTTTGTTGGTATTTATAAAGACTTCTACCTCTTTGCAATATATGCCAAACTCTTGATTAAAGAAGCGCTGGCCCTCCAGGAACTGTCGAACCATAGACTCACCTGAGGGCAGATTGCCATCCTTTAAGACAGATAAATAGTTGTTACTATGGCTTCGTTTAAAAAGGTTATACATAATATATGGTGTGTAAATGGGATAACTATTCAAGCCTGAACGCAGCTGAGAAGGACAAATACTATTATTATTTTACGTTCATGTAAGGGTAAAGC